AGAAATAATTGAAATTTATGTTTTTCATTGTTGCAATAATTCGACAATCATAAACTTAATCATAACTTTGAAGTTGTAAAATTTAATAAGTGATTCAAGAGATCGTTTCTATTTTTATTTTACATCCAATAATTAACGATTTATTATGATTTTAGTAAAGAATACCAAATATGATATAATCCGAAATCGTGATACCTCAACTCTGTTTCACTCGTTTTTGTGTTTTTTTTTTTAATTCATTAAAAATTTAATGAATTTTCTAATTGCTTTCTTCTGTTATAATATTATTTCAATACCTAGCAGGATCAGATCGCTGTGCAAGTCTCATCTCAGGAAGAATAGAGTACGAAACTGCCGAACCGACTAATATAATTTCACGTACGTGAATATCTTATTGTTAGCATGTTCAAATATAAACAGTGTTTCGTTTTTAAACCAATTGTGCCAAAAATTGCGACACGCAAAAAAAAATTTTTTATCGATCTTTTAAGAGAAATAAAAATAAGATTTATACTTTTTAATATTAGCTAATATTAAGCATACTAAATATCCCATTTGGACTTGTAAACAATGATTTTAATCTTTACTACTTCATATTTATGTTAATCTGTATAATCTATTTATACAATATTTATAAATCAATGACATGTTTAATATATTCTAATTTATATATCTTATGTGTATTAACATTTAAATCAACATCAATTTGATTAAATTTGATTAAATTTCTACATTAATACACATTTTTAGAGATTAAAAGAATTTTGTTTGTCTGGTATAATTATAATTAATTATTGTCTATTCAAAATGCTATTAAAAAAAATATTTTGATATTGTTGCAAAGTTATTCAAAATATAAAAGAATTTAATTTTTTGTTGAATATATCTTATGAAAAAATTATATAGATATGTATTTGTTATATGTGTGAATATTTGAAAAAATATTGTAACGCTTATAAGAATTGAAAGTATATGTGTATACATATATTATATGTAGTTGTATAATATTATATATGGCTATTAGCACATTATTTATATATGATAAAAATTCTATTTTAATAACGAAATATTAATTGTTGATAACGTACTTAAAGATGTAATGAAAAATATGAACATCATTTTCTTTTTATTATTTTTTAATTCATTACAGTTTATATATTTAAAAAATGAAAAAAATATACATTGATATACATGCAAAATTTAAATAAAGAGAGATTTTTAACTAAGATATTTATTAAATTTTATTACGCATGTATAAAAGAAATATTGAATTAAAATTTATTTACATCTTTTTTAGCAATATGTATTAAATAGATTATGTACTTCATAGGATATAAGTTAAATTTTCGCGCCATCTGCATGTCAAAATTGAGATCAAAGAAACTTCCATGTGAGATATAAAAAGCCGGGTAACCGTCAGATTCTGACGTTATAAGAGAAAGTGCAGTTCTCTTGAAAAACTATTGGATCATTAACTTCTAATGAAATAGTTTAAAACAATTCTGATATCCTATTGATAAGGTTTGTGTTACATCTAGTTGCAATGTTGACATACTTTTTTTTATACGCAGTATCGTATGAAGAATATCAGCTATAGGTATGTACGTTTGCATCTGCAGTATATACATTTAACGTTAACAGAGCAAGAGTTGCATATGCCAAAAAGTTTTATGTAAGTTTTTATTATAAATCTATTGCATTATGTTCGAATGAGTATGGGGTCAAATAAGTTTTATTAATTAAGTATGAAACAGTTCCGTGATATCTTTCGCTACAATGTGATAAAAATTAAAAGATTTATTTATATCAATAGTTATTAAAGACAAGAATATCGTTAAAAAAGGAGGAAAAAAATACATAATAATAAAAAAAAAAACATAGTCGTATGATCTGATCGTAGTGTTTGATAAGTGACGGTTAAACTGTTCTAGTTTCAGACAACGGTTAAAATTGAATAAACTTATTTTTGTGATATCAGCAACAAAAATTTGATATTTCAGATTACCAGTTCATATGTAGTCAAGTAGAAATTAGTATCTCATATAAAACACAATGAACATACAACAAAGTACAGACTTGATTATATTTGTGACCCATGTCGAAGCAGAGGATGTATTTCTCAAAATCTGGGGTCAAGTTGATAAGAATTCTGCAACATGTGTAGAACGTATGATTTTACCTCTTGTTGAACAATTTGCTAGAAGTCAAGGCTGCGTTGGACCTCAGTTAGCCAATTTACGCATAAATGCCCTTTGCTGTGCTAGATTTCAAAATGAGGGGTATTACCGAGCAAAAGTCATTAATATACGTGCTGATGGTATGGTGGTTTTACAGTTTATTGACTATGGTAATATCGAAGTATTACCACCACAAGAAATACATTTATTGGAAAATATACCTGGCTCTGAGTCGTTGCAATCTTTTCCACCTGTGGCATTTGACTTTACGTTAATGCATATATTACCTATAAATAATGTTTGGGATAACAAAGTAATTGAGTCAATCAAAAAGACTCTATGGTACAATGAATATAAAATTTTAATTCATTCTGTGGTTAATAACCATCGTCTTATTAAACTTTGGTATAACAATGAGGACTTCAGTGAATTGTTAATTAAAAGACACATGGCAGTAAGAACAACGATGCAAGAAATGTTTAGGTATTTATTTTAGATCAATTTGTCAAAAATACATTTCATTTGGATTTTGATGGGACATTGGCTTTGTTATAACATAAAAACAATGGAAAAAATAAAAAGAAAGGTTGGTTGAACTGCAATGACTTAAAAAAAGATAACATTAAGTGTAATTTGTGGATAAATTAGTTTTCTTTGTAGAGTGTATCAGGATTTTTTCTAATCACTTTATGACATACAAAACCAAACAAGTAACTATAAACTATAAACATAAAAAATATAAAAATTAGATTTGGGTTGGTATTAATTTTATCCGTCGTAAGTATATGCTGATACGAAAATATAATTATAAACACACGAGTGGAATTCACTGTAACTAAGATAAAAATTAGATTTGGGTCAATGCGGTCTGTTTATATTTCCCGAAATGATTCACATATCGATATATTTTGGATTGCTAAAGTCGAAAATAAGCGTTATTTTTCTCAGAAATAAAGGATATTTGCAAAAGTACGAGCAATATCATTACAGTTAGTGAATTCCGCTCATATACATACGCTTATAATTGTACATTCTTATCAGTGTATGCGACAAATATCAATCCGAATCTAATTTTTATCTTTTTTATGTTTATAATTTATAATTTATAGTTGTTTTTTTGTTTGTATATTACAATGAAATCAGAAAAAAGTTCTAATACAATATTTGATGTACAAAAAAAATAGATCATGCATTAAAGTCATTGCGGTTAAACCGATCTTTTTTTTATTTTTTCTGTTTATTTTTACTGTTTATGTTGAAATAAAATGATTAAGAAAAGTCTCATCAAAATTCAAAGTGGAGTGGATATCTTTCAGCAAGTTAGCTTTGTTTTATTTTGATATTTATATTTTTTTTTTATTCGAAAAAAATAAAATATTTTTTTATATAATTTTATATTTTATTTAATTCTAAGATAAGAACATCAATTTTTATAATGTTTAAAAATACTGCTGTGAATTTTAATTTTTTATATATTGTCATAATTTGATTTATAAATCATTGATTAATTTAATAAATCAAATATTTTTAAATTTAAATTCAAAATAACACAAAATATCTTTTTTACTTTAAGCAAATATTATAAATATTAATTTTATTATAACTCGTGTAATTTTATAGGTCAAAATGCGTACAACAATCTCAAGTGCCAATATATCAACAAAGTAAATGTCTTATTAGTAATACTTGTGCAATGACACCAGTGCATGATGGAAATGAAATGCATGGATTTCCACGTAATGTTCCTTCATGTTGTGCAGCTCAAAAACATATGATGCAATCTTCTCTTCAAGAAGCTCTTGTATTTAAGTCTCGTGTTTTGGATGTTCCATCGAAACATGATGTATATGTTTCATTTGTAGAAGATGGTCCACATAAGTTTTCTGTACAACTTCAAAGTACTTCTCAGATATTAAGCATGCTCATGAGAGAAATTAATAGTCATCCTCTCGAACCATTACAAGAACCTCCTTTACCTGGTTCAGTATGTCTAGGTCGTTACACACAAGATAAAGTGTTATGTAGAGCTGTTGTAATGTCTGTTATGGAAAATAAGTGTAAACTTTACTATGTTGATTTTGGTCATACAGAAATATTACCATACACAGATATTTTCCAGTTACCACCTCATTTTATCAATCCCAGAGTGCTTTCTATTCGATTCACATTAAGTGGTGTGCATGAATTAAATGTTACGGATAAAATGAAAGAATATTTTAAACAAATAGTATCAGGAAAACTACTTGTTTTACACGTTCGCCCACCAGAAGGGCCACCTTTAGTGCAATATGGAGATTTATATGATGATGGAAAAAATATAAAAGACATTCTTAGACAAGCATTTCCAACTCTAACTATAGTATCATCTGTACATTCATCTTTTCATTCAGCATATCAAGAACCAAAAAAATTATCAAAAGGTGTAACAGAAATTGTTTACATTTCATTTGTGGAATCTTGTAGAAAATTTTTTGTACAAATTGAGAACTATATATCATCTCTTGAATTAATAATGAATAGTTTAGCAGATTTTTGTACAACTGCACCAACTTTAAGCTTAGCACAGCTAAAGATTGGTCTTCCTTGTGCTGCTTTATATGATAATCAATGGTGAGTTGTATAAATAATTATTTATATTAATATATATTAGTTATGGTTATATTTATATAATATATTTTCTTATAATTACTAGGTATAGAGCACAAATTCTAGACATAAATGCAGATAATATAAAGGTTTTATATGTTGATTATGGAAATGAAGAAATAGTAACTTTAATGTCTCTTCGTTTGATTCGTGATGATTTGGTTAAAAAATTACCAGCTCAAGCTATAAAATGTACTTTAAATGATTGGGAACTACTTCCATGTTCCGAAGAAATTCAGAATCAGTTTGAATTGTTGACTTTGGAGAAACGTTTACATTTAAGAGTTGTAGATGTAACTTTAGATGGTATAATGGTAGATTTGTATGGACCCGAGCAGAACAAGAATATTAAGTCTCAAATGTTGAATCTGATTGAAAATGAAGAGAAAATAATAAGAAAGTCATTAAATTATCAAAATGTAGAAAATCAACACTCTACTAAAATGGCTTCAAAAATTGATCAGAGGTATCTATTTTTTTTTTATTTATAATAATTCAACTTGTTTATAATAATCCAACAAAAATTTATTCATTTTATACGTATATTTTAAATATATTAAAAAACAATTTACTGCGTCACAGGTCTTATATAAAACTGCCAATGAATTTGGTACAACAATGGAAAAATGAAATAAATATAAAAGCAATACGGTAAAGTTAATAACACTAAAGTTAGAAAAGCTTTAAAACAGTTGAATTTTTTAAGCATTAAATAATTATTTTGAAAGGAAAAAATATAATTTTATATTAATTTCAAGTTTAAATTAAATTAATTAATTCTGTTTTTTTAAATCTATGATTATTTGAGTTGCAAGAATGGAGTTTTATTTATAACGCTTTTATATTTAATGTATCATAAACAATTCCCTAACCTGCGAACAGCTGACCACAAATAGTAACTTGCAGACCAATATCAAAATTTTTTATCTGCTCTGAATCTGAATTTTTAAGTATTAAGAATTTAAGAATGCTTATAATATTATGTAAATATTTTATAATTATGTGAACATCTATGTGCCACAGTGACCGCGTTCGCTGAGCGAGTTAATTATATGATATATATACTAAAGTTTTTAATAAAATTTCATGTTTTATTTTAGATTTACATTTTTTTATTTTCACAGTTGCTTATAAAAATCAAGTCATTTTACATTTTAAAAGCTTTGTTAGTGTTTAATTTAGAGTTTAAATTAATAATCATGTAAATATAGTAATATTAATATAATTATATTTATTGTTTTGATATCTTGTGGAAAAAATAACAATAATTGATGAATTATTTTTAGATTTATATATAGGAAGATATAAATATATTTTTCATGCTAATTTATTTTTACTTTTAAACTAAGATATTTATATTTTAGTGAAGATACAAATAAATGGCATAAAAAAAATCAATCGGAATTGAAATGGGCTCAAATGCATGATAATGTCCAAGAAAAGAATAAGTTTAAAACTTGGAAAAATGAATCAAATGAAAGTAACAATTGGAATGCAAAATGGAATGATAAACATGATTATAATGACTCATTTAAAAGTGGAAAAGGTACTAAAGGTAGTAAAAATAAAATATGGGGATCAGTTAAAAGTCATTCTTCTGATAAAAATTGGAGCGATAGAGATTCAGATACATCATCTAAAGGTAGTGGCAAACATGGAAAAAGTAGTGTCAATCGTGGTAGTTCTAAGCATGAAAGTATTTCTGGGAGAACGCAAAGTAACAAATTTAATGATAGAAATAATGATGGAAATTATAAGAGCGGGAAAAGAGAAACAAATAGTAAGTCTTTTTTAGCGCAGGTGAAAAATATTTTGTTTATACGTATACCTTTGTATTTAAGTTTTTAAAAAAATATACTAATTATTAATAGGTAACTCTTATCATGGCAATAAAATTAAAGAAAGGAAAGGACAAGGATATAGGTTAACACAAAACAAGGTAAATTAGTATTAATATTTCTGTGCTTCATTTTTCAAACTTAAATATGACATAAATAAGATTGATTAATTTTTAAAGTATAAATGATAGAAATAAATGCTGTTCAAATGCTTCTAATGCTCAGATAAATAATACTCAGAAAAATAAAAAATGTTTATCAAATACGATAAATAATCAATTTAGATTTAGTTAATTTAATGCATAGTAATTTATTTTAAATTATAATTATAATTTGTTAGGCAGAAATATTTAATCTTTTCGCTATGATGGTCCTGCGCGAATGCGCTATCGCGGTACGAAGCAATCCTAATTTATTTTTATAGCTTTTAGAGCTTATTTTTATTAAAGTTAAGAATAAATGTAAAATTTTATTGGGTGACTAAAATCCTCAGTAGTAAACAGTATCAGACATTAACTGACTATAGTCATCGGTAATAGCCAATGAGCATTAGTCGTTTGGTGAATATAGTGACCAATAGTACACAATGAGTGTACACAACGTCAGACTATACTATGACGCTATTAGAATAGCATCAGTTTAGTAGCAAACGGCGGCTAATACAGAAGTGAAAAGGTTAAAAATATTTTATTATATTTTGTTATAAATTCTTTAGGTCTTATAGTATTAATATTAATTATATATTAAGTATTAATATATAAAATATAAATTATGTACTATGAATATATTATTAAACATATTTCATTGATAGTTTATAAGCTAAACAATATTATCTAATATTATGGTTCTTATTAATTTTAAGGAATTATCATTTCTTCTTTCGTTATATTATTTTATTTCTCTTTTTGATTATTATACTGTGAGTTGAGAAATCATACTTATATTGAATATCAGTATTATGTTAGTAGGTATTTTCTTTTAGTAAATTGATTAAAGAAGTTTTTAAATTCAATATTAAAATTGTTCAATATATGAATAACATTATGTATTATCTTTGTGAAAGTGTTTGGTCTAATATGATCTCTAGTAAAAAGTCTAATATGATCTCTAGAGTAAAAAATATTTGAAAAAAACTTAATAAAGTTTTAATTTTTGATACAGAATTGTAAGATTAATTAATTGTTAATTAAATTATGAAATTTTTTTTAATTTTTAGTCAGACATCGTCAATTTTGTCTTTGGTGAAGAAGAACAAAAACGTAATACAATGAAAAGTAAAACTGAATTTCATATTGTACGCCCTGTCGTAACTATTGGAACTAGAAAAACTTGTGAAGTAGTTTTTACAAATAGTCTGTCTGACTTCTTTATACAGTTTAATGATTATACTGCTTTAGATTCTATGATGGAACGTATTGCATTAATATATGAAACTGGTGGAGAGTTAATAAAAAAATCTGATGCATTGTGTGGCACTTACTGTATTGCTCAATATTCAGATCTAAAATGGTATAGAGCTGTGATCAAATCCACTGAAGAAAATAATGCAATTATACAATTTATAGATTATGGCAATACGGAAACAGTTGAATTGAATAAAATTAAATCTATGCAGAAAGAATTTTTGGAACTTCCAATACAAGCTGTGCATTGTAAACTATTTGGAATAAAGAATAATCTTGACACAGACAAAACAAGAATTTTTGAACATACAGTTTTTCGCAAAATATTAGAAGCTGAATTTATAACAGAAGAAAATGATATATACAGTATTTTATTAAAAGAAGCTATTGATCCAACAAATACTTATATAAATCAAGAGTTTTGTGAAAATATTGATTTAGTTAAAGCAAAGGAAGAAATAATGTCTAACAGAATAACTACTTTTAATATAACACAATTTAACAAACCTGATTATATACCTTTGGATGCTAAGTGGACTACAATTTCATATACACCTGAAACTAGAAAAGATGTGATTATTACATGGTTTATAAATCCTAATAACTTTTATTGTCAAATACTTGACAATGAAAATGAATTTAGAACTATGATGAATGAAATTCAAAAGATATATATTGATAGAGAACCAGTTTCGCATACATTACAGGTAATTACTTGATTTAGATGATTACATATAAATTTCTGTGCACTAAATATATCATAAATAAATTGTTATAATTACTTTTAGGTTGGATCTCCAGTAATAGCAATATTTTCTGATGATGGAGCTCTTTATCGTGCAGAAGTTATTGAATTAAATAAATTAAATGGTCATCTTATTCAATACATAGATTTTGGAAATAGTGCTATAGTTGATCCTCAAAATATTTATGCTGTAGAAAGAAAATTAATGCATCTTCCAAAACAAGCTTTCCAGTGTTCATTGTTTAATATTGCTCCATTGAGTGGTTTAGATTGGTCTGAAGTAAATACAGAAGCGATTGATAATTGTTTTAATGCTGAAAACTATGAATGTTTTTTTCATAATATAAAAAATAATAAATACTTAATATCATTAATTAGTAATGGAAAAGACGTAGCTAACATGTTAGTTGAACAAAATCTAGCATCATTCAACTCAAAAACTCAAATAAATGCTGACGTTGAAGGTGAGATAATTTTATGTAACTTACAACTTTTTAATTTTTAGAAATAATATTAAATAATTAATTTTTTTTAAAGCACACAAAAGAATTTTAAGTGAAAAATACTAAATGAATTCTTTTATAATAATTTTTTACATGTGATAATATAATTGTTTTATTTTATATAAGTTTATAAGTGTTTTATTTTATTTAACAAAAATACAATTTATTATACTTTAGAATTTGTTATTACAATTTTATATATAAAATAACATATGAATGTTAATAATACAAATATCACAAAAATTACAAAACATATAATTCTATCTTAATTTGCTTTTTGGAGAAAATTTATATGTTTCATGAAAAAAATATAGTGTAAAAAATGATTAAACATATTTAAATATGTTTAATTTTAATAATAATTTAAAAGTATATAATGTATGGTATTACATCATTTTCAGAAAACAATACTTCAACACCAATTTCATATGATATAGAGACTGTGGATATAAATCTTTTAAAAGGTCAAACACTTAGAGCAAAAATTTCAAGTGTTGATCTAAGTGCATCAAAATTCTATATTCAAATACCTTCAGCTACTAAATGTGAAAATATAATTAATACATATATGGCTGGCAAAGATCCTGAGGTACGTTTCATACACATACAGATATATTTAATTATATTACTAAATAAAAATATGTCTAGTAATTGTGCTGTCTATAATTACACCTATAATATAGAAAGGTTTATTTTATTCTTGATACATAGAGATTGCTAATATGTAAAAATTATCATATAATAAATTTAATTTATGAAATATTGAAATATTAAATTTAATGCAAATTTGTATTTATATTAATTATTTATTAGTAAAAAATATGATCTTTCTAAATTCAGTCAAAATATTAAAAATTGTAAGAAAAATATTTAAATAGAAAATATTTTATATAAAATTATATTTATAATATTATAATATAATTTAAATAATATTTTAATAATTAATATAATATAATTAAATAATTTAAAAATATTTTAATACATGAATTACAATTCATAAATGTATTGATACATTTTATATATGATTATTATTAATATTTATGACAATAATTGATTAATTGTAATAGTTTAATTACAATTGCAATTACTTTTTTTATTATATACTTTTAATAATATCATGATACTAATTCTCCAACTAACAATTGTTATAAAAAAGTGAGACAGTTAAAATAGTAATGCAATACTAATCTTCATTATTCTAATTATGTGTATGTCTCATGCATTTCATTGCACGATGTATGGTATTAATAACTTAATCAAAGTAAAATCTTTCCTGTGTCTATATCGTTCTACTATTGAATTATATATTAAGTGTATTTAATAACTTTATACATTTATCATAAATAATAATCCCTGCCATTTTGCATTTTGATTATAAGTTCTGAATAAAATATTTTATAAAATAATAGAGGTAAGTTTATGTATAATCATTAATCAAATTATGTATATTCATTATTTATTATTAGAGTACTTAAAAGAAATAAATATATAAAATAATGTATAAAAGATATATAAAAATATATAAAATACAAAATTTATTTAGAAAATTTTATTCTATCTTTTAACATTTTGTTTATTTTTAAAATTTTTATATTCTTTTACAGAAATAAATATTTAGATATCTAAATATTTTCATTATTTATTTCTAATTAAATAATTAATCTACTTAATTGTGTAATACATTTGCAATTTATTATATTAATAAAATCAAATATATAATTCCTTTCTATTATATCTAACATTGCATGCTACGTTCTGTAATATTTCTTATAGATTGAATATATGTATTTAATAATTTAAAAAATTTGCAGTATTTTGATACTAATCAAAATAAGATTATTTAACGAATAATTTAAATATAAATTTTTTGTTTCTATAAAAAATTGATCCAAAAATTATTTTTATTAAAAATCATCAAAAACAGTATGAATCTAATAACACCATAATAATTTGTAAAATTAAACTTTCTTATATATAAAATAAATTAAATAAATTTACAACATTGGATAAGGATAAGTATAACAATGGCAGGTGATGCAACGATTATCAATCCATGAGATATGCCTAGGCACAGGTTGTTTGGTTTGTTCAAATGGAGTTTGGAGACGAGCAGTAATCAGTAGCCATTCACAATCCACAGGCTGTTATGTTAAATTCATTGATACTGGAGCATGTGATGAAATTTTCTCAAATAGTGTGAGTTTTTCAATGAAAAGAAAAAGTGAGATCATTTAAGTGCTAGATTCAATTTATGCATATATAGTATAATATTGCTAGGAGTAGAAGTTACTTAATACCATACTTGCTGCATTGAAGAATATTAATACAATGATTCAATTCATTTTAGTGAATTAAATACTTTTTATTCATGTTAAAAGATTATTAGTTTCTTAGGCACAAATCTAAATTAATATTGTATTGCTTGAGTACAGGGTACTTAATTATTTAAATGATTTAATACAATATATTACTATAATAAAAACATCTTGCTTTTACTTCATTCTTATTTAATAAAAATTTTCAGTTATTAATATAACTAATTAATTTAGATACTAGCTTTACCAGGAGAGCTTTCAGTAATGCAAAATCAAGCAATTGAATGTATCCTTTTAAACAAGACAGATTATTCAATACTAGAATATTATGTGGGAGAAGAAATGATTATACACGTGGATGAAATTGACAATAATAGGTAAATTTAATTTTCACTTTTTTATAAATTGTTATTCAAATATTTTTCTAGTAATGAACAGACTATACTTTTGTTTCATATTTTCTTAAAATTCAAAGAAATTAACAATGCAAATGTAAAAAATACCATAATACTACTTTAATAAGTGAAAACGAAATCTTTTGTTTTCAGTCAAAGTTTGTATTAATAAATAATTGCTGTGTTAATGTAAATAGTACTACTACTAATGGTTCTGTAAAATTTTTATTGAGAAAAACTATTTACTTAATTGCTTAATTAAGTGAATTAAGGTTCACTTAATTGACCAGTATTACAATATGGTCATCAACTAGCTTAATTATATAATTTTATTAATTTTCTTTTTTTATTTTTATTTTTGCAGATTTATTGTAAAAGTATTTCGCGAAAATGGTATGGAAATAGATGCTGGGGATTTCTATGAACTAGTGTCGCCAATATGTCCAATGCTTATTCTAAGTTCTACTCATAAAGTATCAGTGTCATATGCAGATCATTCTGCTAATATCTGGTTAAAACGTAATGCAGAACATACTTTACAGAAGCATTTAACAGAAGCACTTGATCAGTATTATTCTAATCCCGAAAGTTATTTCAACCAAAAGTTATTGTACCCGAAACCGGATATTTTGTGCGCAGTTAAAGGCCTGGATGGTCACTGGTATCGAGCTAAGATACTAACATGTGATCCTGAAACTTATGTAAATTTCATTGATTATGGCTGTAATGAAAAAATTAAAAATAGTGACATACGATTAAGACAGTTAGCTCCACACTTTCATACACCATATCAGTTAGCTATTAATGCATCATTACCGGTAGTGCTTAATGGTACAGTGGCTGAACAATTAGATATATTAAAAAATCATTTATTTAACAAAGATCTTACCGCCGTTTTTCATTATATCGACAAAAAATGGATAGTAGAATTATTACACGATGGAGAAAAAATTAGTGATAAGTTCCGTTCTCTTAATTTAACATCAGAACAGAAAATACCTGGAATGAAAGAACCTCAAATCCATAATATGACAATCGGTTGTAAATATAATGTATCTGTATCTCACATGGATTCACCTAGTCAGTTCTGGCTTCAACATGCAGATGATGCCACAGACCTTTTTAATAATCAAAATGCACTTCAAGATCAAGTATCCACATTTTTAGAAATAGATGGAATATTGGAAGAAGGAAGTTTGTGTGTTGCTGTATATACTATAGATAATTTATGGTATAGAGCGCAGGTACTCGATGCTGATGAAGATATTACAACTGTTCGATTTATCGATTATGGAAATACAGATGTCATTGACAATAAATCCGGAAATATTCGACAGATACCAGATTCATGGAGAGAAATAAAAGAATATGCAGTTAAATGCAGATTAGATGTTATTCCTGTAGACTCAGAAGATTGGAACGTTACAACTTGTGAAAAATTTGAAAATTTAATAACATCTGCTAAATCTTTACAAGCCCTGGTAATAGCAAACAGTGTTCCAAAACGAGTAGACTTGTTAATAGATGATAAAAGTGTTAGTGAAGCATTAGTTGGCAACCATCATGCAGTAAAGATTCATACAGAGGAAGAATTAATCGATGAAATAATTGATCTAGAATTGGATCCCTATTCTGCTTTTGTAAGCCATATTAACTCTCCAAATGAGTTCTGGGTTCAAGAAGAAAAGTCTGTTGGTGATTTAGAAATTATGACTGATAGATTTATTGTGGCACATATGTTTCCCAAAGTAGATGAAATTAAAGAAAATTTATTATGTGTTGCTAAATATCCTGACGATGAATGTTGGTATAGAGCACGCGTTGTATCACACAGTGATAATGCTATACGAGTTATATATATCGATTATGGAAATTCAGCTACCTCAAACGAAATACGTGCTATACCGCCAGATCTTGCAGATATACCTCCTCTATCGAGAAAATGTCGTTTAGTTATGCCAGAGGGAATTACAGAATGGTCAGAAAAGGCTTGTGAAGAATTTATAACATTAGCGGCTGATGGAGCAACTATATTTTTGTTAGATGTAATCGAAGAAGATGAAACATCATTGGTAAAATTAACATTAGATGGTAAAAATGTGACAGATATACTTGCAAATTTCTGTGAACGTTACCTACCAATTATAGAAGAACGATTACCTCCTTTGGGTGAAGAAAATTCACCAAATGTATTTGTTAGTCGTATCAATTCACCTGATGAATTCTGGATTCAAACAGAAACTAGCGAAACAGACTTAGATACAATGTTTGAAAAATTAGAAGCAGCACCTAGTTTCCTTCCATTAAGTACATTTGAAATTGGCACTATTTGTGCTGCAAAATATTCAGAAGATGGTCAATGGTATAGGGCACAAATTCTTTCACATTCTGAAGAAGGTACTAAAGTTCTGTATATAGATTATGGCAATACAGAGATTACAAATGAAACACGAATATTACCAACAGATATTATAAATATTCCTCCTTTAGCGAAATGTTGCGCTCTACAAAAACCAGATAATATAATTTTTTGGCCTTCGGGTGCTTGCAAATTATTCAAAGAGCTTGCTACTGAAGAAACAATGTTTCAGTTTGAGATTCTTGATAATAGGTACCCTGTTTGTGTTAAATTAAATCTTAATGGAAGAGATGTTGTTGATATTTTAATGGAAAATATATCCGAAGATGCTACAATAGAAAAAGAAAATCTGTATAATGATATTAATGATGAAAGTAATGCAGAAACAGAAGAAACAAAAGTAAATGAAACCAAGAAAGAAGAACAAGACGAAGATATGAACAGATTTAAGGAATATACTGAAAATCAAAATCAAGAAATAAAAGAAAACACAGATAACTCATATCTGGATACTAATTATGCTGTAGAACTTACTGTAGATGAAATAGTTCAAAATATGAAAGTGGATGAACAAGAAGAAGATGAAGATACATTTAATAGTCATAATCACACTATTGAAATGTCTGACAAAAATAACAGTGACGAAACAATGGAAAGTTTTAATGAATTAGAAACACAAACTGAAATAGAGACATTTAGTGATAAGAATGAAATAAAAGAAATTGAGACGCTAAAAGGAGACAATAAAACACACACTGAAATAAAAGATGTGAATGACGAAGTTTCATCAACTACAATTAAAGAAGTAGCAGAAGATTTTAAACAATTGGAAACACAAGTGGAAACAGAGATATATAGTCACAAAAATGAAATGAAAGAAATTGATACAGAAAAAAATAAAATACATGCTGAAATAAAAGATGTAAATGAAGAAAATTTATCAATCACAATAAAAGAAATAGCAGAAGATTTTAAACAATTGGAAACACAAGCGGAAACAGAGATATGTAGTCACAAAAATGAAATGAAAGAAATTGATATAGAAAAAAATAAAATACATGCTGAAATAAAAGATGTAAACGAAGAAAATTTATCAATCACAATAAAAGAAATAGCAGAAGATTTTAAACAATTGGAAATACAAGTTGAAACTGGGTCATATAATTATGAAAATGAAACGCAAGCTATTGAAATAGATACAGAAAAAAATAAAATAAAAGGTGAAATAGAAGGTGTAAATGAAAAGGTTTCATTAAATACAACAGAAGAGGTACCATTGAATACAATTTTAGATTCTCCAGGTATTAAAAATGAGTTAGAAGATCTTACAAAAAAACAAGATATAGATGAAATAGAAATATATGAATCAAGTATTGATGAAAACAAAGAATATGATAAAGACTGTATTACACAAGATACTAATGAAGCAAATGCTGATGTAACGGACCCTAAAAATTGTTCTGATATAAACAGTGTGAATGAAAAGGTATCTTCAAATTTAAACTCTACAGAAATAACAAGCAACGAATCTAAGGTTACTGATATAAAAAATGATAATCCAATAATTATAGTGACAGTTTATGAAGAGGGTAAAAGAAACGATAATATAGAAAAATTTTTACATCTTGAAAATGCTCCTACAACATCAGAATAATTATATATAAAGACTGATCATGTATTTCAATGTTATTTGTAAATAACACTAAAATTATTACTTCAAAACGTCATTTGTTTTTCTAAAGAGATCTGTATTTAATTTAATACTGTTTGTCCATGTGAATATTTCACTTATAAAATATAAAAATTTATTAGAAAGAGAACACAGAGAACAATATTAAAGTGTGCTTTTACTTTAAAAAAGAATTTTTCAGTAAATAAGAGACAACATTCCTAAACATATATTACAGCTTTAAATATAAAAAAAATTAAAATGTAAAACATTATTTTTAGTTTTATTTTTTATCTTTTTATTGCATAATTACAGTAATTTGTATTGTTTGATTATATTAAATTTTTTTATATTATGAAATAAATTACTCTTATAAAAAGTGATAATGGAATATTGTTACAATAATTACAATACATTGCTTTTTAATTACAGTATAATTTTGTGGTGCTTTGCCAAAAAATAGTAAAAAATATACTTAATATATAATAATTTAAAACTGTTTTTCTGTTTTAATATAACATATTCTAACATAAAATAAAAAACAGGTCAATAGATTCTCAAAAATATATTTAGTTATATTAATTAAATATATATAGTTACCAAATAATTATTTAAAAATTCATATATAATTTTAATGTAACATGTCAAAATTATATAAATTTGTATACTTTAAAATACTCTGAATTATTCTGAATAGATTTTCAATTATTACTAGATATTTATGTAATCTCTATATTTAATTTTTACTTATATAATTGTCTTTCTTTCAGTTTAATAAATTACAAATTTTGTAATGATTTAATAAAAAATTGACTGTAAAATATATTTTTCATATTGATAATTAAGTTAGCATATATACTGATTTTAAAAAATTATAACATACTAAAATTATTAGAACTTATATAAAAATGGTATAAATGTATTAATATTGCTATCATCAAGGTACTAATTATAAAAAACTAAAAAGAAATTTTGCTTTATAAGATTATAATAAATTTATAATAAAAAAGTAAGATTACAAAAATTCAAAATTTACTGTTACTCGACATTTCCTTCATAAAAAATTAAATTCATTGTTTATAGATTTAGTTTTTATTGGAATAGAAATAAATAATAATTATTAAACCATTATATAATGTTCCTCATTTTTTTTAATAGTCATAAACATAATTTAAAATAATATTACAATATTACTGTTGATAGAAAATAAATAGATTATGGAAATGTTATTATTGCAATAATAATTTAGTTTCTTCTTTCAGTAAATAATATATTAGTATGCATTTACTAAGTTACTTTACAAGCCAAAAAGCCAAATTCTAATTAGTTATTTCGTTCATGCATACGCTGATAATTTTTTCCGACAAAGTACGATTTTTTTATTTAAATAATATTTAATAATAACATCAAATGCCTTTACAAGTGATATTGTTAACATATTTGATAGTTGATACATTATATTATATAATGATACTAATAACGATGTCTTTTCCATAAATTATTTCTTAGAATAAAATAACATGGCATCTATATATTCTAAGTCTAAACATTACTTTTATACTGTATTTAAAAAACTAATCGTATATACATACAATCAATACATATTAGCATTTAAGAAATAGTAGAAGATGCAGAAGATGAGAGCCAAATTTACATCTTTTGCATCTTAAATTTTAATAAACCACGCTCTTATAAAGTAGTATATATATATATGTATACATATACTACTTTATAAACAATTTTAATTAACAAATGTAGTGAAATAAACGAAAAAAAAATTTAATTGATCACTAAAATAATCATTTCATTTATTTTTTATTTCATATACATATATACAAACATTTGTGATTTTGAATTTTGAAAATTACTAGAGCATTGAAAGAAATCAATCTCACGTAATTTATGCATAATATATTTACAGTCAATTATTCTTTACCATACATGAGATTATGTAATCATTTCTATCACAATAAAATATATTTTCTAATACGAATGTAAAGATGTTTATTATTTTAAGCAGAATGTAATAATACAAAAAAACAAATTGAAAAAAAAATCAAATATTTTGGATAAAAATCTTTTGATCTTTGATAGCGATATCTTATTAAATTCTTTCTTTTTTATTTAAATATTTTATGTTATATTTTTCGATTCATCGTAATGTATATCTTCTTTGAGTTTATCTTCATATTTGCTAAACTTTTTTTTCTTCCTTTGTCGTCTTTTCTTTTCTATTTTATAGAAATTCATGCTTTAATATTTTTTATGTTATAATGTCATGAAAAATGTTTTATGAGTGACGTATATACAAGAAACAAAATTGCTTTTAAGATTTAATTTACTAAAATCAAATGATAGTAACATAAATAAATATAAAAATTTTCTTCAATGTTCTTTTTGAAAGACTAACAATTCTAACGATAATAAGTTTTTTTGTGTAAAAAAGAAATAAATGACTAAATTTTTATTATTAAAAAGATTTATTATCAATAAATTTATTGTATTCTTTACATTAATTAAAAAGAAAATAAAAATAAATTGGTCATTTTATTCTAATATTTCTATATTTAAAAATAATTATATAGAAACTTAATTGTGTGATAATTCACTTGTATGATTAAGATGAATCATATACCCTTTTTCTTAGCAAGTTTGATGTTTTTTTCCATTTCTGCATTGTATATTTCTTGCCTTCTTTTCATTACAATGTCACGAGCAGCTGCTATTTCATCTTCTAAATACCACCGAAGTGGTCCTCTACATCGTTTACATATCATTAGTTCAACTGAAGGTTCAATGAGTTTACCTTTTTTGTCTCTTGAAATAAAGGGGATTCGTTGTCTACGGCGACCATACGTTTGATCGCTCCAAATAACTTGTTGACCACTTCGACTTCGATATCTAGTTCGAAGTCCACTTCGAGCATTTCTTTGAGTACTTCGTTGACTGGGAGGTTCAATATCGCTATGTTCTTGAATGCGAAATTTAATATTAGGTCCTTCTTCGGTTGGACCGTTTGAAGGGAAAAGTACCTCTGGCTCTTTCGATACGAATAATCTTGGATCATAGTCTTTAATATCGCAACAAAATCCGTAAGGTTTTACTGAAAAATCATTCTGTGATGTACCGATATTAAGCTGCTTCACCCGATCCTTTTTCATGTTTTGTCTCGAAAGTTAATGTTAACGTACTTTAAATTTAAACAAAGAATATATTAAACGGAAGTAAGAAAGAAATCATGTTGGATCTTTTGTTAGAGATAGATTCGAAAAATTTAAAAGAACTATCTAGAAAAATCATTGTTTTCATGGCAAATATGGTATAAAGGTTATTAAAAAAAAAAAAAATAACACGACAACTTTTGTCGTTTTTAATTATTTGTAGTAATTAACCCAAGTTAAATATTTAATACAAGTTACAAATGGACTATGTCAGTGATTATTAATAACGTATTTATATAAACAGAATTTTTTATCTTAATTATATCGGAAATTCGTTATTTTTATTACGTCCATAATTTTAAAAAAATTTTATCTTCTGTTACGATTTTTAATTAAAGCAGAATCACTTAAACGTTAGTATTGCAAAAAGTTCTGTTCGCATTCGGATCGAGCATATATATATATATATATATATATATATATATAGAAACACGTGCATTTATGTACAGTAAATAGTGTTATGTTTATGAATGCTATCATTTCAACAAAAGGTTATTAAACAATGATTTCGAAACATTCGTAACACGTTATTCATGAAATAATGAATTCCTCGACTTTGTCGTCTGGAACGTTGAGCCATTCACCAGGACAAAGAACTTCGGAATCTCAGGATTCAGAACTAACCTCTGTTGGAAATCAAACCTCAAAGATCTTGAATCAAAAAAAATCTGAATTGCAAGAGCAAAAGCAACAAGATCGTCTACTTCGGGAGTTGCATTTAAAACGTGTTCAGTCATTAAGGAAAGAATTGGATTATATTAAAGCGACAGAGTGGAGATATCAGTCAATTGATCGGTATTTTAATTATTGTATTTGCTCTTTATGCATAATATTTACTTGAATTCTGATCAAAACGAATGTTCGTAGGTACATGGACAGAAATAACAGAAACTAAATATGTTGTCGTTTATACATACCCTTATAAAATATACTCTAGGATATAAATCGTCCAGCAAAGATGAATCAGACGAAATAAACAGTGTCATAGCTCGTATTGAAAATGCGTATGAAGAGGAAACACGAAAGGGTGAACGCTCTAATAAGGACACAAGTTATAAAAGAGGGATTATTACTTTAATCACCACGGATTATTTGGTGGTTGATGAGTTTTATGTTTGCGATGTAGCAAACATTTCAGTAAATAATTTAAAAGTAGGTGACAAAGTCTGTTACTCGCTCTTAATGGAGCGAGACAACCACGAGGAAAAACACAAAATAAAAATTATTTCTGTGATAAATGAATCGTGGGGAGATGCAGAGAATTCGGAGGTAGATATTGTCAAACCGCAAACATTAACAAGGTGTATAGTTGGAAAAGTTATGGAACGTAAAAATCGACTGTTAGTTGTAGAACCTAACAATATCACCGTTAACTTAAACAAAGTAGAATCTGAGTTTATTCCTGTGATCGGAGATTGGTTACAATTAGAGACAGAAGTAGAGATTGATGAAGTTTCTTATAATCTAAATGGAGAAATTTTAGAGATAAAAAAAATACAGCCCCTAAGATCTAGATTAGATGTTGGAACTGTAACTAGTTTTGATCTAACTAAAGAAATTGGTGTTATTGGAAAAGATACTGTATTTAATAAAAGGATATGTGAGTCTGGTTACATTCCTTGTGTTGGCGATAAAGTAATAAGTGACAGTATTGAAAGTGATCAAGGATTTTATACATGGAGATCATTAACAGTGGTTCCGGTACTTCAAGTAAGTTTTACTTAAATAAAAAGATAATTGTTTTATAATCAATTTTAGAAAATAAATTTCATTTTATGTGTTACTTAATAATAAAAAACATTATTTTTTAAATATAAAGAATAATATAATAATAATTATATATGTATGTATATAATATTTTTTATCTACAAAAATGTTTCTTATTTAATTTTAATTTATAAGGACTATATTAACGTAATACTTTATTTACAATTTTTTTAATTCTCTAAATTTAATTTATTTGATGTATAATTTAAAGATATTGAAATATTTATCATATTATGATAATTGTTTGATTCTTAGCAGGTTAATGATATTTCTAAAATATAATTGTATAATATAATATAAATCATCAAATATTTTTGATATTTCTTCTAAAATATTTTCAATAATAATAAGTTATTATTTTGTATTTATGATTATATTTGTATGTAATTATATAATTTAAAAAATTAATTTTAAATATATTTTTATGGTGTAATAAATTACATTCTGTAAAAATTAAAATATAATTTTATTCAAAATAAATCAATTTTTTTTAGGTCTCTAAAGAAGTTAAGTTACCAGTATTGCATAATATTTCCTATACATCAAAAAAAGATTTAAACAATCTTGTGAAAAATAAGCATGGTATTGTTATAAGTGATGATTTAAACATTGATTTAAATGTACAAGAAGAAAAAAATATAACAATTACTATAGACAATTTAAGTAATACTACTCATATATTGCACAGAAGTTGTTTCATGATAAAAAAAAGCAACTCTCAACTAAGATTAATAGAACCAAGTGCTCCTAATATAGTTTCAGTATTAAATCCTTCTGATAAATTAACTTATATATTTAAATGTACAGCAAAATTTATTGGTACAAGCAAAGAATTATTTGTTTTTCATTTTAAAGATTTCGAAATTGGACGAATTTTTAATATTACTGTCAAACCTAAAATTATACAAAAAAAATCATACTATAAAAATAATAATACTAAAACTAATTATGTACTAGACTTGGATGAATGGAATGAAACTACATACATTCCAGGCATTCGTCCATGTAGACCACCATCATTTATTAAAGTACGAAATATGGTATACAAAGTTCCTAAACATTATTGGGATATAATATCAAAATGCATAAATGAAAGAAAATCTCAAACTGAGTGTAAATATGATATAGAAAATGCTGTACCTTGTTTATCAAAGAGACTTTCTTTTGAATCGTACAAAAATCGGTTTCACGCTTTATTATATTTAGAAGAAATTGCTCAAATAATAAATATGCAACAGTATAATATAAATAGCACAGTTATGAGACATTGTGGAGAATATTTAGTTATGGAAGTGCCAGGACTTGCAGAGAAACGTCCCTCTCTCCTTGTTGGTGATAGAGCTATAGTGTCTTTCAAATGGGATAACTCTCAAGGTATGTTGTAAAATTTAAAATGAAATTATATTATAAAATTTTATATATAATTTTATAGTTATACTACTAAATAATCATACACATTTTAAAAAAGTATTTTAAATTATTAATTTTTAAGAAATGTTTGATATAAGATGTAAAACTCTTTTTATATAAAATTAAAATTTTAATGATGTTTGAAATAGGAAAATTAAAATATGAAGGATTTATTCATAAAGTAACAAATTTGGAAATTTTTTTGAAATTTAATTGCAAATTTCATCAAGAATATAATTATGAAGATTGTCAAGTAACATTTAAATGTTCACAATCAGTCATACAACGTTGTCATAATGCAATTGATATGGCTGTAGATCGTCTGGGTCAGAATTTTTTGTTTCCTACTCATGTAATTGAGAAGGAATCTCAATTAGAGCTTGACGAAATTGAAGATACGTCAATTTGTAAACAATTAACTTATCAGTGGACTGATTCTATAGATTCACCGGAATCTTCCGCTAACACATCCATAAGTAATAAATCTGATGATATGTCAAAGTCATTTACAAAAATGTCAGTTGTACAACGATTATTTAATGTTGAACCTATTGAGAAAAATAGAGAAATTACAATAAAACCTAATGCAAAAGACGGGCCATATATTGAAACAGAAAATAAAATAAATGTTATTAAAAATTTAACAAATACCGTAATACAAGATTCGAAAGACACATCAACTTCTTCCTGTAATATTGAATTGCAACCAATTATTTCACAAGTACGAAAACGAAAGTTGCTTTGGTTTAATAAAGATTTAAATTATTATCAAAAGGAAGCTGTAAAAAACATCTTAAAAGGACATGCACGACCATTACCTTATGTAATATTTGGACCACCTGGTACAGGAAAAACTGTTACTCTTTGTGAAACAATTCTGCAAATTTTATCAACTATACCTGAAAGTCGTTTATTAATTGCTACACCATCTAATAGCTCAGCAAATCTTATATCAGAAAGACTTCTAGATAGTGGTATACTTAAACCTGGTGACATGGTACATACTAAATTTATATAATCTCACTTTATAATAATTTAATGTGGATTTCATCGAAATTTTTAATAAACAATAATAATAGAATAAAAGTTTTTATGTTTAAAAATGAATATGTTTAAAAATAATTAAAATGGACTTTATCATTTTTTCATTTTAAGCAATCTTATAAATATTTTATATTAATTCTGTTACATAATCTTATTGCAATAAAAATATATATTATAATATAATTTAAATACTACTTCTTTTTTACTTTTAGGTACGACTCATAGCTTATCACTGTTTGAATAATGATTCTATACCCAGTAAATTATTGCCATATTGTGCTACTGCAGAATTAGCAGATGAAACAACAATTGAAAAATTAAAATATAATGAAGTAGGACCAAAATTGAATTGTACTATGAGTGTACTTGGACGTCATAGAATTACGATTAGTACTTGTGTTGCTCTCGGGATATTAAATAATATAGGATTTTCCCGTGGACATTTTTCACATGTACTAATTGATGAGGCTGGTCAAGCGACCGAACCAGAGATTATGATTCCACTCAATTTTATTCATTCTGATTATGGACAAGTAATTCTTTCAGGCGATCCACTACAACTCGGTCCAGTTGTAGAAAGTGGTATAGCAAAGAATTTTGGTTTAGATGAATCATTTTTATCAAGATTGCTACGTCATTTTCCTTACCAGAAAGATTCTAATGGCTTTGAAACATGTTATGATCCTCGACTAGTTACAAAGCTTCTTATAAATTATCGAAGTTTACCAGAAATACTTGAATTATCAAGTTCACTATTTTATGATTCTGAATTGAAGGCACAGGTATATTTATTTATGTCATTAACAACTAATTTTTTAAATTTATATCGTGATAATAAAAAAAAAAAATTTTAGATATCTTCGAAAACAAGTAAAGAAGCCAAACTTTTACAAACATTAGCTACAGAATTACCAAAGAGAAAGGATACTCCACCAGCTATAATTTTTCATGGTGTAAATGGGGAAAATTGTAAAGATAATGATAGTCCTAGTTGGTATAATCCCGAAGAAGCAACTCAAGTGTACCTTTATTTATTAAAATTATATAAATGCGGTCTTTTACCTGATGATATTGGGATTATAACTCCTTATCAAAAACAGGTAAAATAATTAAATATAATTTGTTATTAAAACATTTATGAAATTATTTTATATTAAGTATTTAACAGGTTCTTCAAATTCGTGAATTACTCATGGAATTAGATGTGGAATTACCAAAAATTAGTAGTGTTGAAGGATTTCAAGGTCAAGAGCGTAATGTCATCATTATTTCAACTGTGCGATCTTCATCCAATTTTATAGATGAAGATATTAAACATTCTCTTGGATTTGTTGCATGTCCTCGAAGACTTAATGTTGCAATTACTCGAGGCCGTGCTTTAGTTATTATTTTAGGAAATCCTACTCTTCTAGTCCAAGATCCTTACTGGAGAAGTGTTTTAATATATTGTATCAATCAAGATTCTTATACCGGATGTAGTTTCGGTTTTCCTGATATAGAAAATTCTTGTATAGAAACAAATGACTCTTTTGCCAGTGACAAAATTAATAATTCACGATGATTCACATGACAATTGTTCATTAAAATCTCTTTTATATTTATCGAAATATTTGTTATTAAATAATAAAATTACATTTTTTCTAATATACATACAGTATTTTATATTCATATGTTTTTATAAAGAAATAAATGATATTGTTAATATTACTAAAATATACGTTGAAAATTATATTTTGTATATAGAAATTTTTAATATAAAATACCTATCTATAACATTCAGCTTTTTTAAAATAATAAGTTTATAGTTTTTAACTTTGATTTATTTTTATAAGTTTGATTTTTAATTTCTTCAGATTATGTGGTATGATATGAATAATATATTCATTTTTCAAGTTGGATAAGAATCTTTCTGTTATTTGGAATGAAAATAAAATTGTATTATACTTCTTTTTAATACATTTCTTATAATGAAATGTGTCAATACATATTATAAAAAGTACAATGGTTTTATGTTGTAATATACACACGTATATTTATACAACGTTTCCACAAATATATTTTTATTCATTCAATTTAATCTCTTTACAAAAATGTATGAATAAAAATATATCCGTTTTGTTATAGAGCTCTGCTTCAGTGTACACAGAATTGAATTATTTCACTTCGAGTAAGTCGCTTATAGCGAGATGAATTAAATATCTTTTATGTCCCTGCATATTGCATCGTGATGTCATAAGTCCAGGTTCCATGAAGTTTGATACTGTAAAAAAATAAAGCGCTTTGCTATGATGTGTACAAGAGAAGAAAAATGAATTACATTTAGGAGAAGAAAATCTTTGTGCTTTTGATCTATGCATATATGAATGATTTGATGAATGGATAATACCTTGGATATTGTATAAGATACGAGTCAATTACAGTATAATTCATAGTGTAATAGCTTAATTTAAAAAAATTAATGAATAAACATTAGTATAATGACTCTTCTTTTATTCTCATTATACAAAAATGAAATGTATATTATATAATAACGTAATTGGTGAAAAGCAATCGTGTTAAGTTGAAAAATGTAGTAAAAAAATGAATAATATTTAAATAAATTTTTTAATGTAAAGTGTGATATCTTGATGGATAGAATCTTAATCATTTTGAGTTAATCAGGTGACTGAAAAGAGGGAAAAAAAAGTACTGATACATGAAAAATGATTGTGAATGATACTGACCTTAGTTAGTTCCACACTATACTTACAGGGTCTTGATTTTTAGCTTTTAGTTTCCGTTCAATTAAATTTTCTAATGCTTCACTACGGACACTTAAGGTTTCAATTTTCTCAACCAATTGTTGATATGGGGACGCAGGTTGCCCACCCATTACAACGTGTCCTAATTTGCTATCTATTTTGGCATCTAGTCGTGCGTTACGGATTAGATTAACAATCCAACATTCTGCTACATCTGCTTTCATATTAAGTTTTTCTGCAAGCATTCTGCAATATAAAAATATATTAAGAAAATATAAAAACACATTCCATCATTTAAATGTACATTAAAAATATAAAATTGTTATATACCCAATACTTATACATTGATGTATTCTACAGAATGTTTCAAAGATCATTAAACGCGCATTTTCTACGAATTCAGTCAGCAACGCAATTAAGAAAAAGTCATTAAATACAACTGTTTGACACTCTTGTAGCTTTTGTCTTGCTCCATCAAAATCAAAATTGACATATAAATGTTCTAGAAACTCTGTAATGGGATCACGGTATGTATAAGATTCCTATAAATAATAAAGAAGAGTAATTAATAAATCTTATATATATAACTTGCAAATATTTCAGTAAGAAATTGATAACGAACCTGCTGTATTACTTTTACAAGATCTTTTAATATAGATCGTCTAGAACGATTAACAATGACAGCAGCTGCCAAATATCTCAATATATGAGGACACATTGTTTGAATTGCATTTAGATAGCTGTAAAATAAAAGCATAATCTTAAATTTTTTATCATACTTGGTACATTATCTTAATAATACTTGTAAAAATATTGACATACTGTGGTCTATAGAGAAACATTTCTACGATTAAATCTCTGCCCTTCACGTGATTAAAAAATACAAACAAACTCCAATGAATAAGCCATGTCCTTTGTTGTAATACTTGAAGAGAGTTTCCTATGACATTGCTATCAATGTATTCTCTTAATTTATTTACATCTTCCAATGCGGTTTCCCAGTTTTGCACTAGAATTTCCGATGCTAATTTACCCCAAAGTACATTTAAATAATTCTAAAAGTCATAGATCCTTTATTATTTTAAAAATAAATTAGAAGTCAATTTATTATATTTATCAAATATATAATATTAACACCTTATCTGTTGGTGGCATTATAAGCATGTAGAAATATAAATACGATGTAGAAACAGAATAATTGCCACATTCGTAACGGTATTTTGCTAGTTTCACAAAACTGTCCATCATTTCCACTCTGAACTATAAAAATATATATATATAAAAATTAATACAATTTCAAAAATCTACACAATTAATGTAAACAATAGTTCATACGTTTTAATATTTAATAATTATAACATTTATAATATCTATAATAATAAATATATAGATATTACTTAATATGTACAGCATGTTTGAAACAAATGTTTTTTTACTATTCTACATATTAATTAATATTATTAATTTATTATATTAGTAACAAATATTGCTTAATTAAGTGTAAATATGCATATTAATATAAATTTATAAAAATATATCATTATACTTGATTTTATTTCATTTACCTCAGACTCTTGAGTAAGGTAATTATTCAATGCTTTAGAATCTCGCATATTTTCCATTTTTTTCATAACTTCTTCGTTATTCATAAGTTGTACAACAACGGACACGTTATTTTGTAAAATGCCAAGTTCTTGCAGTACATCTGCACGACGGGCTTTCAATTCCTGGAATTGAAAATTTGAAATCACATTTGTATAAACATATGTATACCATCACTCATTAAATTTGTTTGTACCTCTGGCACCTCCAAATTAGGGTAGAGTTGTTTCCGAATGTCAATTGTATAATCTATCATGTTTGTTTTGCTTAGAATATCGAGCTTAGCTTGAAGTAACTCGTCCTCATCGTAAATCTAAAAAAGCATAAGTATATCATAACCAAACTTCGGAGGAGAAATATTTCCTCCTTTTATTGTATATACCTGTTTTGCAGATAAGAATTCCAAAAGTGGAAATACTAAATGCCGATCGAGATATTGACCTATACGTGATGTTAAGTCGAATTTCGCCATTTCGCTTCTTAAGAACAATACCGAATAACAGCAATCCTAACCAATCTACAGGTAAAAAGGAGCTGACCACGCTCCACGTTAGCGTCAAAGAACATAGAATAGATTGAACGGAAAGTTTCTATAGAAGTAGATGAATTTTAGCTGTATTATTTTCTGAATGTTGTTTAATATGTATTGTAACATATTAAACATTTTTAATTATTTTATGTTAATATAATATGTAATTGTTGAAAAGATAAATAAAGAAATATTACAATAAATACTCCATTTGAGCTTTGAATTAATTTATATTATAAAGTACTCACTATGAAACGAACAAAATAAATAAAATCAAATACAATAAAATATTTGTAGAATTAATAGAAATACCTTTAACACAATTTTATCATGAAATTTTATTACGATAGATACTATATATATATATATATATATATATATATATATATATATATATATACAATATATACAATAATGTGCTATATATAATAAACGTTTTACTAAAGTAAGTTTCATTTAAGAAACTGAAATTTATTTTTATTTTTTTGAATATTATTTTTCTTTTATATATATATATAATTATATTTATGTTATTTATGATTGTAATTTCTGATATAGTATAAAATAAGTAATTTTGTATAAATTGTAATGAAATATAATATAATGAAATATAAATCATTATTTTTTATTACGTATAAATTTTTATTTTAAATACTTTGATAATTAACAAAATAATTAAAAATATTATCCATTGGTATATTGCTTAAAAAGACATATATTTTTTTCTCCTGTGTAAATGCTTTATTTTTATAAATAATCATTAAATAATGTATTATAAATGTTATTAATAAAACCGACGTTTCGAGATTAAATGAATATTTCTATATTAAAATCTACGAATAGATAGATTTATATAAATAGAAGAATTTAGTGAATAAAACAGTATAATATAAGCTCGTTCACGCTCTCTTATACAGAATATGTACTTTATGGTCCATCTCTTTACTATCACATTTACGTGTAGAAATTCATATGCATATGAATTGTTCTATGGTCGGAAGTAAATTTCTGTTCATTTATAACTTCTGTTATTAGATTTCCTGTATTTGACATTTGTAAATACTGGAAAGTGAATGAAATGCCACCTAAAAAGGCACCTGCTCCCAGCAAAAAGGCGGAGCAGAAGAAAAAAGAGAAAGTTATCGAGGTATTTAAATACGAATATTTATAACCTTAAAATACCATATTCATTATTTTGAACATGCATATTTACCGAGAGATTTATTACTTTTCACCTGAAAATGAAATTCTTTTTTTTCGTAGGATAAGACTTTTGGTATAAAGAACAAGAAAGGTGCCAAACAACAGAAATTTATTCAACAAGTAGAGAAGCAGGTAAAATCAGGTGGTGTTAATCCACGGAAATTAGAAGATCCTAATATTAAAAAGCTTGAAAAAGAAAAAAAATTAAAGGAGCAGAAAGAATTAGCTCTCATATTTAAACCTGTGCAAACACAAAAAATAGATAAAGGTATTAACTGAGTAAGGTTATTGCACCATCTAGTTAAAAAATATTCATGATTGTCAAAAATTATTGAAACATATCACATTAGTATAAAGTGTAATTTTAATGGCTCTTTTATCGTTATTATTATTTTTGTTTTATTATGGGTAGATATAAAAAAAAAAACAGAATTTAAAATAATAATTATTTAACTTTTTTATTATAGGAACTGATCCCAAATCGGTAGTGTGTGCATTCTTTAAACAAGGACAATGTACGAAAGGTGATAAATGTAAATTTTCTCATGATTTAAGTGTAGAAAGGAAAGCAGAAAAACGTTCATTATACTGTGATATGAGAGATGATGATAAAGAAACTGATACAATGGATAAATGGGATGAAGACAAATTAAAAGAAGTTGTTGAGAAAAAGCATGGCAGTGGTAATCGTCCAACTACAGATATTGTAAGTGTTTCGTAATATTTTGGTGTTTAGTCATTTTCAGAAAAAGAGAATAAATTATACTTCCTTAATTTCAGATTTGTAAACATTTTCTAGAAGCGGTTGAAAAATCAAAATATGGTTGGTTTTGGGAATGCCCATCGGGACAAAAATGTATCTATAGGCATGCTTTACCACCTGGTTTTGTTCTTAAAAAAGATAAAAAGAAAGAAGATAAAAAAGATGAAATTTCCTTAGAAGACTTAATCGAAACAGAGCGAGCGAATTTGGGACCAAATCAAGTATGAACATACTTTAATTAATCTTACATAAAAGTATTATATTATAAATATTATATCATAAGTATATTTTCTCAAAGTGTACAATGACTTATTCAATATATTTTGATAGACGAAAATAACATTAGAGACGTTCTTGGCGTGGAAAAAGAGAAAACTAAAAGAGAAGAAAGAACAGGCCCTGAAAGACGAAGAAAAAAGACGGAATGATTATAAAGCTGGCCGCCAAGTCGGTATATCTGGCAGAGAAATGTTTTACTTTAATCCGGAGCTTGCAGCTGGAGATGGTATTTTTTTTGTTGTTTTTATTTGATCTGTTATATATTTTATAGTTTTAGTATGTGTATAAAATTTATTTTAAAACTATTTTTAGGTATTGATGATGGAGACGAAGCAATATCTAGTTATGTCCGTGAAGAAGATGAGGCTGAAGAAAAGGTTGAATATAGGGAACTTGACATGGATAGACTTGCACTTGAAGCTAGTGAAATTGATACTTCCGGAATAACTGTAGCTGGCGCAGATCGATTGAAAAATAATAAAGATATAAATAATGAAAGTTCCACAGGTATATAAAAAATATATTCATTGTTTTAAAATAATGTTTTAAACTTAATCTCATTAATCTTATATTTTTATGACAGTTACTGTTGGTGAAGGTGCAGCTGCATTAGCAATTAATGAAAATCTATTTAAAGAGGAAGATTTAGAAGGCTTAGAAGAAGAATTAGAAGATTTAGATTTAGAAGAGTGATTTAAATATTTTGTTCAAATTCTTCCTTTGACTCAATGTATTCATTTATCTGTATCTTTACAATATATGTGTCGATATATTATACATACATTTACTAGCTCGAAATGTAATATCTTGTATATTATTACTTACATATTTTCAAACAATATACTTACACAAAAAGTACATGTAAAGAGCTGGTCTCGTGCAAGTTACTTGAAATTGAAATTAATGTATTTTAATGTAATTGTTTTACAATTTTTTACGATGAAAAATATAGTCGAATTCTTTGTTATTGCATTCATAAGTTATTTAACATCTCTGTGAATTTGAAAGATATAAAATTGTTACAATTTTAACGATATTTAAAGTAACAGTTTTTAAATTACTTTTAATAATGTAATTGTAGAGTTAAAGCAGATAACTTAAATTGTAAGTAAAATTAAAATTTAATGTGATAACGAGACTGGCAAATAAAACAAATCAATTTTTCAAAAATATTTACGACATATATAATTACTAACAGCGGTAAAAATATTAACTTATAAAGTCTTTTGATTTATTAGGATTGAAACATTCATAAAGATGTGAATAAAAGTGCGCATGAAAAAATATAATACATATTGTTATTTATGTTTATTTTAGATAAAAATTTTAACTAAAAATAGTATAGATTTTTATTAATTTTTAACGATTCAATATAAAGCAGAAACAACCTTTATTAATTGCATAAATTCATTGCTATCACAAAAAGAGTTATCTAAATATTTCATTGCTTATATTATAAAATTATAGACTATGTATTGCATTTTGAAAATCTATAAACAGTTTCCACAATATTTAAACAACCATTATATGAAATAATCAAAAATAATGTGATGCTTAGATATTAGTTGTATATACATATACATATACAGTGTATTTCAAAGTGTTACAAACTATTTTCTCCAAAATAGATTGCAGGTGTGAACTTGAAATGATACAAAAAGACTAATACTTCAGGGTAATTAAATAGTTGTAAAAGTAAATTTTTTAGCGATATAGAGGATAAAAATAGGATGGTATAGTAATTTTTCGATATTTGGAAACATATCAAGTTGATGATATAAAATTTTTTTTGGAAATACGGGTGAATTTTATAAAAAAATGAAAGTTTAAAATTAAAATAATTTAGAAATCAATAATTTTAGATAACTTCATGAAATATATTTGCAAAAAATTATATTAAAACTTTATATTTTCACACTTTGCAACTTTATATTTATGTTTCACAACTTTATATGTTTTTTGCAACTTTATATTTGTTTCACAATTTAGAATATATATATAATATAAATTTATTTGAACTGTTATTAAAATTTTGTTCAATTCAAATTTTATTCAAATTTTAATTTGTACATTCTATAACTTCTATGTTCTTCGTTTGAGATAATGATACTATATGGCGAGACGTACGATATTCATAAAACTTTAGATTTGGATATTTTTCTAGTAAATATTTATATGCACTAACAAGACTATCAATATCTTCTACTGTAAGTGTCATTGGTCTTCTTTGAGGATCCAAATCAGCAAGTTTATACATCATTTGTCCCAATTCAGTTCGATATTCTAAAGGAAATAATGTTCTAAAATGTAAATAAAAATTTTAGAATTTTGTAATTTTGTTAACTATTTTCTACTATTTTTTATCAACATAGTTTTATATAAATTTTACTTACTCAATACCTCGTATACTGTATTTTTGGCGAAAACTAAAAATGTGTCGTGTTACTTTCTCAAAAATTGCAAATTCATGTTTTGTTCGTGGAACAGTTAAGGGTACAAGTGTTACAAGGCCAACATCAACGTCTGGTTTTGGAAGAAAGGCTGTACCTATTTTTAGCAAAACAAAAATAGAATAAATATTTTATGAATTATAAAATTTAAGAACAAAAATTAAATAATATACCAGGTATAATAAAATGTAATATTGGTTGTGTCCAAGCTTGTGCCATTACAGATAATCTACATCTTTGTGTATCTAGTGGTTCAGCTATTAAGCGTTCAGCAACTTCTTTCTGAAATGTTAATGTCATTCTAGTTCTTCCAAATTTCCAAGGGCCTGTTTTTTCACTAATTGCACGTAGCCATTTTATTATGAGAGGTGTTGATACATTAAATGGTAAATTACCAATTATTTTAATCCTTGGACATTTATCTGTCCAAGTTTTTGTTTCAGTTGATGGTAGAACATTTTCCATATGAAATGTCATGACATCATCAAAAATGATTTCCATTTTACCATTAACAGCTGCGAAAGCATCTGTCAACATTTCTAATGACGGTTTAAATCTTTTGTCTTTTTCTATAACAATTAATTTTTTTGGTTCACGTTTTATAATAGATCGAGTTAATCCACCAGGACCAGGACCGACTTCTATTACATGACAATCAGAGAGAATTCCTGCTTTTTTTATTATTTTATCTGTCAAATTTTCATTTAAGATAAAGTTCTGAGAAAGCTGTTTCATGGCTCTCAAGTGATACATTTTTAAAATTTCTCTTATGTTTGGTAAAGGTGGTAATCTTAAAGTTGGCATGTTTTTTCTTTTTTTATATTTAGACAATAAGTAAAAGTAATATATTGTTTGATAAAAATACAAATTATTTTAAGCTCTATTAATCTTCTTTTCAATTACTATTTCAGGTTCATTCAGATCATTCAGAAACGTTTCCTGCCTTACAGCATATATGGTATACAGATAAATTCCTAAAGATAAACCAGCTAAAGCAAAACCTGCTATGGCACAATTATTACGTCTTTTTCTATATATGGATGCTCTTTGAATAGCTGCTTCTTCTGCTTGTTTTATATACATTAAATCACTGTATTTTAGTTTGTGTTTATCTTTTACGAGATCTAACTTTTCCATAAAGTCAGTATTCTTGACATTTTTCTCTGAAAATAAATCAACAAATAAAGACATAATTCATACAAAATAATACTTAATAAATATTATTCTTGCCATTCACCAGATTGCATCTTATAAATTTCTTTCTCTTCTGACGCACTATTGTTGTTATTCTGTAAGTATGCTACGTTTGTTTCTATAAAAAGAAATGATTATATAACTATGAAATGCAATTTTCATAACCTTTATTACCTCAACTATCTTTACTTGTTATACTTGTTACACATATACAATATGTACAATTTCTTTATTTCGTCGTGTAACTATATTAATAATTTTTTATCTTAATTAATAATGTGTCTTTTAAATAATATTTTTAGTAAAAACTACATTAAGGTTATAATGTAAATTCAAGTATTTTTTAATATTATTTATTATATGTATTTAGAAAATGTATATATATATATATAGAATAAATTTTCTGGGACATAAACTGAATAATCATATTGATAAAATACATCTTTTTATTTTTAGACCTTGCTGTAACAAACTTACCTTCGATTACGTTATTCTATTTCACATTTCACAGGCGCATGCGTTGTAATTCATATATACATATGTATGTGTATATTATTGGAGTATATGTATTATATGAAGAATAATAAGATTGTTAGAAAAATTTTTTCTTTAATTATCTATATGATTATAAAATGTGGAAAGCATAATTTAATTAACTAATTTTTCATTAATGTGTGTAATATGTACATGAATATACTGTATTACTAAAATGTTTTCTTTATGTAATATTGTTGATAATGAGAAAGTATAATAATATGAAAGAATGATAAAAAAATTAATATAAGACTGAGAATATAATAGAATTCGTTCTTTAAAAAATGAATAAAAGAGTTAAATATTTTAATTTATTTAAGAAATATTTGTATGAATAGTTCAACATATAATTCAATACATAATTAGGTTTTCATTCACATTATTAAATTAATTTCATAATCTTTTTACATATTTATGCACTTTTTACGAAACAATTATCCAGTACAAAATATTTAGTATTGTACAGTAGCGCTATCTATTTTCAAGGCGATTCCAGAGATTCTCGTAATTACACAGTTCAATATCTACATATAGCAATTAGAACACGCAATTTTTTTTCTTTGTAATTTCTTTTTGATTAAAAATATCGGTCAATATAAAATATGTAAAATATACATTTTCTAGTCAATTTTATTTTATTTTATACGTTTAATCGTATATTAAAGAGAAATAGAACAAAATGAATATATGTCTTTAAAGGTCAATATTTTAGATTTTTAATTATATGTTTGTTTATTTGTGTGATATAAATTATTATGAAATATAGATAGTTCGTAATGCAATAATTTATGATTTGTAAAAAAAGTAATAGCGATAATGTTATTTTTACTTTTTTAAATTACTTTAACTAAATAACAATTTTGAGATAAAATTATCGCTATTTTTAAACGTTCATATAAGAATATAACAATTTATCATTTTTATAATTTCTACAAGATTGAACGAATTATACGATTTACGTATATGACGTATATGATGAAATATACGTATATATCATTAAATTTCTCATTGATAAATATTTCATGCTAACGATAATTGTTATAAGTTATATGTAGAATGACTGATTTTAATCTATAAATACAAATTACTCGTAAGCTAATTATATAAAAAGATAATTCAGATAAGAAATGATTTCTTTTTATGGAGGAGGAGCGACGGAGTGAAGAAGGTATTGTAATTTGAAGGTGTAAACAATTTCTTCGTAAATGAATGCGTAAAAGTCATATGAAAGTTACACATTCTTAAATGGTTTTTAAAAAAATTATATATTTTTTAATGCACTAATTAATACGGTTCAATATTTTCTGCAAAAAAAAAAAAAAAAAATAACTTATGTATGTATGTCGAAAAATTATTAGTTCAGAAAACAAATACTTTAACTTCCCTACACATAATTTTTATCTATTAATTTTTGAATATTTATTTTTAATATGTACCTACTAATTTCCGAATTAATTTTGACTGGCGTTTTAGGTATAATAGATTCCTTTTTAACTGGTTGGTACAAGACCAGTATCTGATCGGCCAAATAGTTATCAATCCGATAGGTGAATAGATTTGGTGAATAATGTTTGAAATAAGTACTTCTAACAGTAAGAATGCTTGAAGAACGTTGCATTGTAAAGCTTGTTTTTTTGATATACCTACGTTATCGTAATCCGTTATTGTTATAGAAAAATCACAGTTTGTTTCTAGGATTCTAGGAGAATCTGTTGGTACTGTAAGTTATCATTAGTTTGAATTATTATTTCGATATATTATATTATTATTTGGATATACCATTTTGAATTCATTATATTATTATTTGGATATATTATTTTGAATATATTATATTATTATTTAGATATATTATTTTTAATATACTATATTATTATTTGGATGTATTATAGAAGCAAAACGTAAATTTCGGCATCATTTTGAACCGACAAATTTTTGCGAATATGTCTAAAACTGTTCATTTCCATGAACAATGATCTTGATTTTTAACTTCAGCCACCTAAAATGATTGCTTATTAACTATATATCCATACAATGAGAAAATAATAAAAACTTTACAGTTCTAATTAGAAAATAAATAATTTTATTTTAATAAATATTAAACAATATTTACATTGATACCCAACAAAAATAGATGCGTAAAGTTTATATTTCATAATTTACTAATTAATTTAAATTTAACTTAGAACAATGTAATAATTCGAGGGGACAAAAGTATACTTACAATAATAATATTGCTAACAAATCTGATGTTATATGAATATTTTTGTCCACTCAAAATATTATATCATCTTGAATTTTTATTTAAATAAGTAGATCACGGAATGTAAACTTCATTTCTATGTATTTATTATTGTTGGATACTAATGTAGGTATTGTATATTATTTTCTAAAATTTAACATTATTTATTTATTAGTTACAATGAAATTTTTATTATTTCCTCATTGTATGAATACTTTTGTTTGTTACTGTATGTTAATTATATCTTCTAAATTATAATACCTATGTAAATTCGAAATGTTTTATTTTTTTAAATTTACATTCATAATACGTATGTTATTAACGTATGTTATTTCGTCAACGTTTCAGATTAGAATGATATTTTGCTAATAGTAACAGTAACTGATTAAATATTTCACACTTTATCAATACCTGCCACCTCAAATTATCATTAGTCGTATTATTATTATATGATAAAGTAATTTATATTACTGACTATGATATTTAAGTTTCTACCGAATGTTACATGTTTAAAGTTCTCTTACTGAAGGAAATCACATTTTTTATTACGATATTAATCTTCGTGTGACGAATATTAATCTTCGTTTAATAAGCCATCCCAAGGACGAATCCAAGATCCATTCTGACCCATATAGAGAAGTTATAGTTTATATCATTGAAATTGAAGGTAAATTGGCTAATTACACTTTTCAAACAGTGGTTTCTCGTTTCACTCTCGTCGAACGGGAATCACGTGTCTAGATCTTAATTTGTCAAGTGAGAGTCGATAACAAACTTGAACAATAATATTACAAGTGATAATATTTATTCGATGTTGTAAAATTTCGCGGATCATTTTGATATTAATTTCATTTGAAACAAGCGTCAGTGAAACTTTTATTTCAACGCAACAATTTGTATTCAATTCTAGAAAATAGTCAGGGAAGTTTACAAAAACTATAAATTCTATGAAACGCACCAAGTATTAAAGCGAGATTTTTTTTTTTTTTTTGAGACAAATGGTAAGATTCAACGTGCAACAATATGCTTTATATATAAAGTGTATAGAATGTTTCCTATCCGATGATACAAGGTGTCTAGGGGATGATTGTACATGAAAAAGATTGAAAGTCGGAGATAAAAGAATAAAATCGTTTTATTTAACACACTCGAGATGGAGAGCTTCGAGAAATAAAGTTTCCTCTCTCTCTATAGTTTTAGTATCGATATATCTAGAATACATTATTATATTCCTAGTCACTATGAGATATCAGAATACGTTTAATGATAGAAAATAACATTTTTATTGTACTTTTAAATATGGGAACTAAAATTTCCATCCGTCTTGAATGTGTTGAAATTTCGTTATTAAGAGAATCAAGCTTGAAAATTCATCAAATGTACTTGATAACCGGATTGGGCAAAAATGAACAATCAGTAGAAAATTATTGTGTTTGTGAAAATAAGAATAGAACATTTTCATTTAAAGTTTCATTTTTGGTAAAATAGAGTTTGAACGTGTTCAGTTAAAAATTGGCGCATTAGACGTGTAAATCGGTCCAGTGTTAGCTCAATTTAACTATCAATTAACATAATTGATGAACACTCAAATTTTCTCGGGAATAAAAAGTAAAAAATAAAAAATGAAACAAATAAAATGAAATCTTAAAATAAACAAAAATAAATAAAATAAAGTCTTAAAAATGCTTTCCTTTCTCGTCGACTTCTCTTTCAACGCGGAATAAACTCCTTTCTGATTATAACCACCGGATCGGGAACACGCTGTATATATATATATTCTTTTAAACGAAACGTCTCGTTCGTTAGATCAAGCAAAGCGAGTCTGTGGAAGCGCGGCTCGTGTACTCGCAAGTCTGATGAAACCTGAATATTTGATAACATTGCATTACATTAACAGCGTTGCTTATCTGGAGTTTTAATGGATTGTAAGGTAAATTAAAATATCCGACTTTCCGTGGCAAATGCCGTGGCTCGTATTAATAGTAATTTTTTCGATTCTGCGGCGAAACACTCGCAGCCGCGTTCACTGGGAGCGAAAACCAATGGAACGGAAAAGGAAAAGGAGAAAAAGAAAAAAAAAGAAAAAGTGAAAAACGAAAAAAAAAAGAAAAAAATTGGAAGTTGAAGGGGACAAAGCTTTTCACGCGTACTGTTTTTTTCATCCACGATAAAAAGCCGTCACCTGTGTCAACTGTTTACACAAAATTGATCGATATATCGCGCAGAGGAGAAACTTTTCCACCTGTGCGAAATGTATCGGTTTACAAAACGGGTCACCAACGATCTCTGCGTATTATATAGTCATGAGCTTTTATTTTCGGCGAGTAACGAGCGCATTCGTTTCTGAAAATTTCATTTCGCGCGCCGCGTTTTGCCACGTTACCTTCATCCAGTTCCGAATTTTCCGAGCAGTTAATCCCCGAGATGCAAGCTTCTGTCTCCTCTGACTCGGCGTGTGTGTGTGTGTGTGTGTGTGTCGTCTCCTCGAGGACTCACGGAGGAAAAAGAAGTCGATGCGATGAAAATGCATCAAAGCGCGAATAGTTTTCCCTCCTTTCATCAATTTCTCTCGTTATTAGAAAGTTTGAAACTGGAAATATCGATAGAGCGCAGCCGTGAATTCAGGTTAAGCCTTCGTTAGAAAATTTTACTTCGAGAGTGGGATGAAAGCGAATCGATTGCTGGCCTCGCAATGTCTATCGGCGATACCACACACTTCTTTCATAATAACATTATTATTCACTCTTATAAAATATAATAAAAATTATCATTCATTTCTTTCTGTGAAAAGTCTATCAAAAAGGACGTGCGAATGTTTCAAATGTGTTTCCTCATCACGTGCTACTTCTCTCGTGTTCTCGTCCTACAAACAACAGCCGAACTCTGCCTCTAGGTTCTATTCTTCTTCTTCCTTTTTTTACGAACTTCATCGACTCGTCTGCGGAAAAGAAAGTTCCAAAAGACTCCTCGGACTCGTGATTGTCTGTCCGTGGAGAACGCGGACCTCAATTTAACCCCCCCCGGTACGCTCTCTCGGTCCACGTGCGTGAAAACGCGCGCAAATAAGGAAGGCGCGCCTACGTCGGATCCCTCGGGTACTCCAGAGGATATTTCTCCTGGTGGTTGCCCGACGGTGTCTTTTTCCCTTCTCTCCCTTATCCGGGAGAGAAGGGCGAGCTTGCGCCTTGAGCTGACGCTCGCGGTGGGACGTGAGAATGGTAAGGAAGAGGGAGAGGTGGAGCAAGGACGAGAAGAGGAGAGAAAAAGAAAGAGAGAGGCGCATCGTGTTCGGAGTTCGTGTTCGGTGTTCAGAGTCCGCGAGTCGAAGTCGGTAGAACCGTTCGCCGAAAACGGGGGGAGGACGGGGTTGAAGGAGCGAAAAGGACGATCATTGGGGGAGTAAAAGCGGCGAGGAGAGGGCAAAAGGGGGAGGGGGCGAGAGGTGGAGTATAGAATAGGCGAGCTTTTTCGGCAAGCGCCGTTCGCAGTGGCGAGGGCGGGGGGGGGGGATGGTTTGATGAAACGGGGGTGTAAGGAGAGCGCCAGGGAGAAGACAGGAGAGGAAGGAGAGGCAGGAGAGAGCCGGGAGAGACGGGAATCGGAGGGGCGAGTGGTTCGCTCGGTGGGAGAAACAGGAGACCCGGGCAGTGCAAGCCGGGCAGCCTGCCCGACGATATCGTCGCTCTAGATATCACGGTGATTCAATTCTTTTTTGTTTGTCCATTCTCCGTCAAGTCGGTCCGCTCGCCGCGAGTTTTCCTTTGCGCGTCTAATAAAACAACGGGCATGCGCGTCGTTGCTTTTTTTCCAGCCACAGAGAACCGCGTAACAGGCACACCTCGTACTTAGAACTGACGTATACGCGTGAACACGCACACACACACACACACAACACACAACACACAAACAAACGCACACGTACACGTATAATATATTTATGCATACACACACACACACACAGACACATACACGCACGCACATACACACAGACACACACAGAGGTACACGCACGTAGAGCAAGAAGTACACGCACAGCGCGTGAAACATATGTGCCCGCGTGCACTCATTGAGTCCAACCGCGTGAGACAGAGTCAAACGTTGTTCGTTGAGAACGCGCACGTTAATCGTTAATTACGCGGCCACGTTCGTAGAACATATACGGGAGAGCACGTGTATCCATCCGGAGGGGCAGCTGAACGCGAGAGCGCGGCTGAAAGAACGCACGCACTTCCCCGCTACGGAAGCTCCCGTAGCTTTCAAGTAACAGGTTGGTCATTTCCCCGGCTCTTCTCTCAATATATACCACTGTCGCGCGTTCCCATCGATCTCTCGGATCGCGATTACACCCGTAACGATTTCCTTGCCTCGCGTATTTTCCTATCGATCATTCGGTACACAGGTATTCGCGTTTCGATCAAACGTCACGCTCGATCCATTGATTCGACGAGAAGTCGGCTTTTCGACGGGAAAAACGGAAACGTTTCCGCGTGGTATAATTGGAAATTTTTTACCGTCGTGAAATTTTTCCTGGCGACACTTTTGGAGAACTAACGGGCTGACGGTTCTTTTGAACGCGTTACGATTCCACAGGGCTTTCCCGTGGAAACCAAACGCAATTTCGAGATGGATTTAATCCTCCCCCTCCGTTTCAATCGACCGATTTCCGATCCCATTTCCACCGATTCGTTCGGGAACGTGCCATCCTTCAGCCTCTCATCGTGCGGTTCTGTGTTGCCTCGGATGTTGTTCCCTCGCCAAATCGAAAAGAACAGCTGCTTCTTAATTACTTTGCAACGATTTCCCCAACGATTCTCGCGAGAATTATGGCGATTTCGTTTCGTTGACCTCGCGAACGTAATCGCGAACGAGGAGAACGATGGAACGTTGGCGAGAGAGAGAGAGAAAGAGCGAAAGTGCATATTTACTTTTAATGTTAACATTAGGTAACGTTCGCGAGCGTCGCGACGCGCGCATTGATTGCACGCGACTCGTGTAACAGGTCGTGCTAGCAAGCTAATACCAAATAAATTAATAATCCAGCTTGCAGATGCAGGCGTTCTATTCATTTTATTTGGCAGCGTTTGCTGTTCGTAATTGTTGGTAAATGAAACGCATCTCGCGCGCGATTTATGGTTGAAGTCATGTAGGCCTTCAACTATAAATCGTCCGACACTTATCAATGTTCGATAGAATTTATGATAAAGTCTGTATCAATCTTGTTTTTTTTTTATAGTTTCGTAATCATAACTTATATTCCTTTACATATTTTAAATGTATTTGAACGAATGCTGCTGCTTTAAATTTTGCGTTTGTCGAATGATATTTGACCACTGACAAAGTTATACATTTAGCCGAATAGAGAACTTGAGAATCTAATGACAATTTCATAAATTACGTAAATATGGTTTTCCATCACGTAAAAATTCTGCTGTTTTATTTCGCGATTTTAGGTAAGGAATTAGAATGAATATACGTAAGTGTAATCGTGAATTTGTTTAAACTTTTAATATCGATGTACGTACATAAATCAGATGAAGTGAGTTTACCTTAATGTGAGCAATTTTTTATTTCAGTATCATCAATTCTCTGTTGATCTCGGTACAATTTATTTCTCGTTTTACAAAACTAGAAGAATTATTAGAGGCTGCATAGGGCTCTTTATTTTATTATTATTATTTATATTATTATATTTTATTATTATATTATTTATAAATTTACAATTATTTACAATATAAATTTATTACGGAAAAATAATAATCGGTTGATTTTACCTGAAACAGTAGTTTATCGAATTATAAATTTTTAGATTGTTTCTCTTTTTTTTTTTTTAGTGTAGAAACATTTACACACAACATTGTAACTTTTATATTCATATTTTCATTCGAATACAACGTAATTTTATTTAATTTCATAAAATTTCATAGAACGAACGTATATATAGCAGTTGAAAGAAATTTCTGACGATCAGTTGATAGCTGTTATCAAATTGAATTATTAAAAAATTCACCGCCGGTAGGAAAACATCTCGCCGTTGGAAAAAAACGCGCGAGAAGTTACATAGACTAATTAATTAGCAAACGTCGCGGTAATTTTCCGCGCGGATTTTCTTTGATTTTATCGTCGGTGAAATCGCGTACCGAGTTCGCGCGCTAAGCGTCTGGATTCCTTGATGGAAATTTTCCTACGTTTTATCGTCACGTAGGAAAGTTTATGACAGATCAGGGTTACGCCAAGATTAAGTTTTTCGCTTGAATTTTTCAACACGATTTATGATCGATCCAATTTAAATTTTCGAAGCATTTATGACGTTATCTGTCAGTCTGTTCGCGAAAGAGGATTCTACACGAGTCGCGATTTCATGACGATTTCGTCATTAATTTTTGATTTTTCTAACAACTGCATCTCCCATTAAATTTTGGTATGTATATTCCCCACGATGACTCTCGTCTCAACGAACATGTTCGGAGTGCACATTTTAACAATTAGTGATGAAAGTGAATACTTTTCTGCGACTTTTCTCGTGATTATTTGTGATCTTTCAAATAGATAGTAGTTGCCAGTTAGTAGTTAAACATTTTTACATTTGACCAAGTATACGCGTGAAAATCTACGATCAAGTGCATAAGTGACTAAAAAAGCAACTAAAATTTTATAAAAAATTAATTTGTTCTGGAAAATAAACGAATTTGGAAGGAAACTAGTTTTGTCTAAATCTAATTGTATTTACAATTCGCAGAGTGAATGTCGATCAAGAGTAACTAAAATTTTAAATTAATTTAAACAGATTGATGCGTTTGTGAAAATAATCAGTTTCAAAGAAAATTAATTTTGCAAAGTCTGACTGCAATATTTAAAACTCGCAGTGTGAATTATGACACATAATAAAAAAAGGAATAAATGACTTGAAAAACTCATCGAATAAATGTGAGAATTTAATCATAAAAGTTGCAAATTCAAAATTTCCAAATTGCAATTTAAGAAACTAATAAAAATAACATTCATGAAATAAGAATACTTTATATATTATGCAAAGAAGATATTATATATAGATTAAGAAATAAAAGTTTGATTTGGAAAGGTTTATTTGTAATTTAAGGATCGTTTGCAACGTTTCTTAAACTCATTAAGGACCAACATTGCGTTAAAACAACATTTCATGTGTAATTCTTTTTAATCATGTGTAAGTTTATATTATCAAATTTTATCATTGAATACTGGAGTTATAAAAAAAAGATTCCAAGAATTCGTTCAATATGTTTGTCATTATTATTTTCTATCTTTTATTTTGATAAACTTATCATAAAATAATTTTTGTGTGTTGTATAAAATATTAACATCTTAATGAAAAGTGACTATTATAATAGACAGAATTTGAAACTAACCTGAAAATGTACATAGAAGATATTTGTTGTAAACATATATTTAGGAAAAAAATTGGTGCACAGCGTAAACAATCATCTTAAGCAAAATTAACAGTACGAAATTAACTACAGACTTATATACTTATATACAAATCGTAATTAAGTACGCTCGGTTCTACTAAATATCAAGATTTATAAAAAGTGAGTAACTGACTATTCCTCAAATACTTCTGCAATATTTGCCAAACATATACTTGCATCAAATCAGTATCTTGCAATTTTACATTAGCTTCAAACTTAAATTATCGTCCTGATAGTCGGATCTTGCCTTGTGTCAATGAAATTTCCTGAATAATTTTCCAGTATTATGTATTTATTAAAAAGTTACAAAATCGTAAAATTGTCCAAACACTTTGCCCGTTGGAACGTAGTGGCTCAAGCGGCAGAAAGAAGCAAGCGAAGTGATCCAGTTCAGGGATTTGTTCTTTGTTTCCCTCCTTCTTTCTCTCTCTTTCTCTCACTCTCTCACTCTCGTTTCATTCTCGAAGCTCTACGGTTAACGAGTTGTTGAAAAAGTACGATGGAAATGTGGTCGGTTGGTGCAAAGAGATTAGTCCGACACCGACGCCGAGACCGGTCGTTTTCTCTCCTCCGTTGCGATATTTAAGCGGAGTTACGGAACAACTTGGACTTTACAATTTCGAAAACGCAAATTAATCCGAGCCGGGAGTTGCACGCGAAGGCAAGGCAAACCCTCAGTTGCACGGTTTCCTCTTGCACTTTGCCGGGGAATCTGTTCTCCTTTGCTCCTTTTGTTCGCGGAAGTACGCGGCTCCGGGGTTGACGAGGAACCTCTCGGCAAACACAGTCTTCCGAGCCGTTCCCTCTCTTCGCTTGCTCCTTTTGCACGAAAGAAATAATCGCGGCACATACCGCCTACACTTCTATTGTTCCGAGCAATTTTTTTTCAAGAGCGTGGAACACGATAGCTGACACGTGGCCACCTCTTCTTGCTTTTCACCCTTCTTAAACCACTTGCGCTGGCAACTGATTGCGGACCGTAACGAGCGACCGAACCGTATACAATAATTCGCCGCTTTCTTTTTTTTTATGAATTCGTCGGTGTGATATCACTAGATCGAAATTATTAAGAAGTAATAAACTATCATTTGTTTTGCCTTGGTTGCATTTAAATATATTTAAAACTGAGAAAATGTTGCGATTTGGAACAAAGAATTCTCGACGTGCGTGGCACGTCAATAAGAGATTAACCACTTGCACTGGCAACTGATTGCGGACCATAACGAGCGACCGAACCGTATACAATAATTCCGCCGCTTTCTTTTTGAACTCGTCGGTATGATATCACTGGATGGAAATTATTGAACAAATTTATTATTTGTTTTGCCTGGGTTATACTTAAATATACTTAGAACTGAAAAAATATTGCAATTTTGGGACAAAGAATTCTCGACGTGCGTGGCACGTCATTCCAGCGCAACAGATTAAGAGAGCAGGACAATTTGACGGGCCTAAAAATTATGAATACTTTGAGGACTAGTAAAAAAGATATATATATATATATATATATATATATATATATATATATATATATATATAATTGAACATTTAACTTTTTAACTTTTATATTGCCTGTCGGTGTGCATGATTCCAGCCAAACGGAGTTGCAGAAAGGAAGAAGTTCAAAAGTTCAAAAGTAAACGATATTTTCTAGGGATTGACGATCCAATATTTTCATTTCTGTGAAAATTATGAAAATAGCAGCTATTTGCTCTTGATGTATCGAATTTATGCCAAAAATTTCTACGTTTTCTGTTTATATTTTTCGAAATTGTTAAAAATTAAAAAATGTTCGATCGTCAATCCCTAGTAAATGTTACACTAA